ATGGTTTATATCTGTGTCCCCCAGGCCTCATGAGTTTGCATTGTACATTTGTTATTTGTTCATTATCTAGTGCTTGGATTGATGGTGTTAGTGCGACACCACAAAAGGGTGGAGCCAGGATGTGATGTAATGGCAGGAAGAAGGTGTGTCTTGCTCTTTGCCAGTTCCTGTTTGCTTTTTGCAGCCACCATGAAATGTAGCCCAGCCATGCCCGCCTGCCTTGGAGTTAACTGAGTGTGGACTGAAACCTCCAAAAACTGTAAGAAATAAACCTTTCCTTTCCCAATTTGGGCATCAGGTATTTTGTCTCAGCGATGAGCATAAAGTAACTAAGACAGAAATTTGGTACCGAGTGTTGTACTCTAAGAAAGTAGCTTCATCATTTTGTGTATTATAGCAAACCTGTACCGCGGCTTACTAAATGTTTTCTTTTCTTAACTGATATGTTAAGTGACCCAATTGATATGTTGAGCAATACTCTCCCCTGTAAAGAATTGCAAGAATTTCACTTAATTGAAATGTTAATCACGGAGCGGCCCTCTACAAACAAGAAGAGTGGTGCTAAAACAAGCTAACAAGGGCTGTTAATCACGGGTAGGCGCCTCTAGTCTTCGCTAAAGAACTAAAGAAGACAAGAAGGCCCACTAATTTACACATTGTTTGAAGTAGTGTGTTTATATGCAGGGAGATTTGCCCATGAGTTTAACCTTTTTACCTAACCTTAGTTACTCTTCCCACAAGATAGATACTCGCCGTTTTCCTGTTCTGTAGCGCGCCTTATTGCCTCCCCCCACCCACCTATCTGGGCCATAAAGAATTTGGGTTTCTGGTGACCTCTCCCCGACCTGGTGATGATCTGTCATAAAATGAGCCTGCCCCAATTTTAAGAACTGTTTAGCTTCAGAGAAATTACCGGGAAATACTGTGGCCCAAACCCCGATCGGTGCTTTCCTTTTGTTCTGTATGTATCAATGGGTTAGATATCAGGTCTTTGTAAAACTTAAGTTCCAGCATCTCATAACTCGTGACCCCTTCGCACTCACTGGCGAAGACAAGCTGTCCTGGGATAATTAACTCTCCACTTTCTTCTCCAAATATTGCTGCAGACGTGACACTCTGAGATAATGCCAGTCTGCAGGATGGGAGTAATTTGAGCAACACCAGGAACTCCCAGGACTGTCAGAGCTAAGTGGACAGCAATACAGTTTCCAGATGCGGGTCAACAGGTTTAATGGCCTTACAGGTTTTCTCCCCACTTTCCCTTACTTTTAAAAACCCCTTTCCCCAGTCTTGGGCGCGCAGTCTTTGGTTTGATCCAGGAGAGACTGTGCCGCCAGGACTGGCTCAATAAAGCCTTTGCCACTTAAGTTTTGGACTCTTGTTTCTGTGGACTTTATACCGGGGCCCAAGTTATAACATTTGGGGGCTCGTCCGGGATGGAAGCAAGACTCCAGACTCATTTCCGAACATCTGAAAGTAAGTGCTCTGGAGGTTTTGTTTGGGCCGCGGTCAATTTGTAATTTTGAGGGGACGCCCTCAATTTGGGAGTGGGAACCACCCGAGGACAGAGTCAGTTGGTTTGTCGGACAAATTCTGTCCATCTGTAAATCTGCCCCGGGTGAGGAACCACTCCGTTCGGAAGGGGACGCCCTTAATTTGGGAAGTGAAGCCCCCGAGGACGAAGTCAATTGGTTTTTGCCATTTGTGACTCCGCCTGGGTGGGGAACCACTTCATTAGTTAAATTTGTTAATTCCTCCAGATCCCAAAATTTGACTAATTTTTGAGCAAAGGCCATTCTGCTGCAGCTTGTCTTGTCTTGTCTCGTCTTGTGTGTCGGTCTGTGTGTTCATTTGTTCTAATTGTTCCCCTTTTTGGTCACCTAACTCTAACAGAGCCTTCTTTCTTAGGAGCTCCTTCCTGGAATTCGGAGTGGGCAAAGGTGATTCCGACCGTTTGCCTAGTCTCTGTAGTTTTTCTGTTTAACCCTAACTTTGCCTTTTAAGTTTTTTTCCAGCAAAACCAGCGACACCACCAGCTATGGGTCAGAACGAGTCCATTATGGGTCGGAACGAATCTGTTCCCAGCACTCCCCTTAGCCTTGTCATTGACCACTTTAAAGAATTCCAGAGGCGAGGTGGGAGATATGGGGAAAGGGTTCGCAAAGCCAGACTAACAACCTTTGTCACACAGGAGTGGCCCCTGGGGACCCAAGGAGTCTGGCCCCCTTTTGGGTCCTTTGATATGGAGACAGCTCGAGCGGTCCGCCAGTATGTATTTGGGCCCCCCGCTCACCCCGATCAGATTGTCTATATCCAGGCTTGGATAGATACAATCTATGATGCTCCCCCTTGGATTGAGCCACTTCCGAATGGAGTCCTAGCAGCCCTCAAACCGAAATCCAAGGCTGAAGAGGAGACCTCCAAGCCCAACGCACCTCCAGTCTTACCTCCGAGCGAAGACTTCTCCGACCCGCTAGACATCCTTCCCTTACCCCCTCCCCCGTATCCTGCCCCTGAGCCACAACCTGACTCCACCTCGCCCTCCCCGCCTCGGCCCATTCGAACCCGCCGCCACGCTCGACCAGAGGGACCTCTGGAACAGGGCCACGAGGCAGCGCCACTGTGTCCTCTGCGGGAGGTCCCAGCCCCGAGTGGGGGCTCCATGTTTGTGTACACCCCCTTTTCTTTCTCTGACCTCTATAACTGGAAAAGTCAGAACCCCCCTTTCTCGAAGGACCCAGAATCTCTGATTAGCCTTATAGAGTCTGTTTTCTCCACCCACCTTCCCACTTGGGATGACTGCCAGCAGATCTTACGCATCCTTTTCACGGCTGAGGAAAGGATGCGAATCTGCGCTTTGGGGCAAAAGGGAGTCCGAGAACCGGATGGATCTCCATCCACTGATCGGCAACGAATTGAGCACTTGTTCCCCTCCTCCCGACCCGAGTGGGACCCTAACACGGATGCAGGTAAGAAGGCTCTCGATGAGTATCGCCTGAGGCTCTTAGATGCACTTCGTGCGGCTGCTAAGAAGCCCACCAACCTTTCCCGAGTGAGTGCAGTGCAGCAGTTAGCCGATGAGTCTCCAGCGGTGTTCTTAGAGCGCCTTTTAGAGACCTATAGATTATATACTCCAATCAATCCGATGGCACCCGAGAACGCACGAGCAATTAATATTGCTTTCGTGTCCCAGTCGGCCCCTGATATTAGGAGAAAGTTACAAAAGCTTGAGGGATTCGAGGGAATGCCTCTCAGCCAGTTGGTCGAGGTCGCACAAAAGGTTTTCAACAATAGGGAAACCTTGCAAGAAACAACAACCAAAAGGATGACTAAAGTACTGGAATTACTTTGCGAAAAAGAAGCCAAGAGGTCAGCTAGCCCTAGGAAAAAAGAAGCTCGAGGTAAGCAACCTCCTCTAGACAAAGAGCAATGTGCGTACTGTAAGGAGATGGGACATTGGCGTAAGGATTGTCCAAAGTTAAAGCCTAAGACAGAACGAGAGACTAAGGCCCTGTTGTCTCAGAAATGAGGAGGTCAGGGCTCGCCGCCACCCCCCGAGCCCCGGATAACTCTCCAAGTGGGGGGGCAACCGGTGGACTTCCTAGTCGATACAGGAGCTACCTATTCTGTGCTGACTCAACCATTAGGAAAACTGACCAAGCAATCTGTCAATGTGATAGGAGCTACAGGGGGCCGAAAATCGTACCCAAAGGTGACAGCTAGTCTGGCTCGACCTGGACATAGACTGGTCCAACATGATTTTCTCTGGGTCCCTGAGTGCCCGGACCCCCTTTTAGGGCGGGACCTTCTACATAAATTACAGGTGCAAATTGACTTTGTTACGAATGAACCTAGACTGAAGCTAGGGACTGATACCCCCTCAAAATCAGAGGGTATTAGAGTGTTGGCTCTTGTCCCAGAAGGAGAAAGTTACCGCCTGCTGGGAAATTTGTCTGGTGCACCCGAGTTGTCACGGACTGACTTAGAATTAGAACTGCTAAACAAATGGAAACAGGAGATTCCAGAAGTCTGGGCAGAAAACAACCCTCCAGGGCTAGCAGTCAACCAAGTCCCCCATGTGGTGGAACTCTTGCCTCAGGCACGCCCCATCTGCTTAAGGCAATACCCAATAAGCCTGCAAGCCCGGAAAGGAATTAAAGTCCACATACAGAGACTAAGAGACAATGATATTCTCATTCCTTGTGTCTCTCCCTGGAACTCGCCCTTACTCCCAGTTCAGAAACCGGGGACGAATGACTATCGCCCTGTACAGGATCTCCGAGAGGTTAATAGACGAGTGCTGACTCTACACCCAACAGTGCCAAATCCTTACACCCTGCTCAGCCTCCTTAATCCGGAGAACACCTGGTACTCTGTCCTGGACCTGAAGGATGCCTTCTTCACCCTGCCTCTTGCTCCGGTGAGTCAACCCCTATTTGCCTTCGAGTGGACTGACCCAGATACAGGGGTAAAGGAACAGCTGACCTGGACACGTTTACCTCAGGGCTACAAAAACTCTCCCACCCTTTTTGACGAGGCGTTAGCAAAAGATCTCTTAGGATTTAGAGAGGAACACCCCGAGATAGTGCTCCTTCAATATGTAGATGATTTGTTGATAGCCTCAACGTCCCTAGAAACATGTCAAGAGGCAACTGAGGAGTTGTTAAAGACTTTGGGACGATTAGGCTATAAAGTCTCGGCTAAAAAGGCTCAACTGTGTCGCCAGGCCGTGACTTACCTGGGCTATAAATTACAAGAAGGAAAGAGGACTTTATCAAAAGAAAGAATCCAGGCCATATTACAAATCCCATCCCCAGAAACTAAGAAACAGGTGCGGGAGTTTCTGGGAGCTGTCGGATACTGCAGACTATGGATTCTAAACTTTACTGAAATCGCTCGCCCATTGTATGACTCTTTAAAGGGAGAGACTCAAAAGTCGCTCGACTGGACAGATGAGTGCGAGCAGGCTTTCCAACAGCTCAAGCGAGCTCTAACTGAGGCTCCAGCCCTGGGGCTCCCTGATGTTACTAAACCCTTCACCTTGTTCGTAGATGAACTCAGAGGCATAGCAAAAGGGGTTCTAACTCAAGATATTGGCCCTTGGAAGAGACCTATAGCCTATCTTTCTAAAAGACTCGACCCAGTGGCAGGAGGGTGGCCTCCGTGCCTGAGAATTTTGGCCGCTGTGGCAATGCTACTCAAAGAGGCTAAAAAGCTCACTTTTGGACAAAAGATTTCTGTGGTAACCTCCCACAGCCTAGAGACTCTTATTAAAACCCCCCCAGAAAAATGGCTTTCAAATGCCAGAATTCTACACTATCAGGCCTTGCTTCTAGACCCAGAATCAGTAGTTTTCAAGACCTCCTCAGCTCTAAACCCAGCCACTCTCATGCCCGACGATAACCCAGAAAACCAACAGATGCCTCTCCATGAGTGTGCTGACATTCTCGAGTTACAGCAGAACTTGCGAGCTGATCTAACCGACCAGCCTTTTAAGGACGCTTACAATTATTTCACCGACGGAAGCAGTTTCATTCAGGACGGGAGGCGAGTGGCCGGCGCAGCAGTGACCACCGAGAAAGAGGTACTCTGGGCTAAGCAGTTAGAGCCTGGCACTTCTGCCCAAAAGGCAGAGCTCATTGCTCTGACAGAGGCATTAAAGCTAGCCTCAGGAAAGAGGGTAAACATCTACACAGACAGCAGATATGCTTTTGCTACTGTACATGTACATGGAGCTATTTACCATGAACGCGGTCTCTTGACCTCGGCCGGGACTAAGATTAAAAATGCCCCACAGATCCTAGACTTGCTAGCAGCTGTCTGGCTACCTCAGCAAGTCGCTATTATTCATTGCAAGGCACACCAAGTGGGAGATGACCCCATCATCATAGGAAACAATTTGGCCGATCAGGCTGCCCGAAAAATAGCAACCACATCAGAGGGGCCTGCAGAGGAAATGACTGCCCTGATGCTAGTCCCTCAAGCCTTGTCAGAGCCTGTTTATTCGAAGACAGATTTACAGCTAGCATCTCAACTTGGAGCCAAACCCCGCACTCCAGGGGGCTGGTATCAGCTGCCCGACAAGCGAGTGCTGTTACCCGAAGCACTAGGACGAGAGCTTTTGCAGCAAGCTCATCAGGCTACTCATTTAGGAGGAACTAAACTAGCAGAATTGTTCAGAGATCGATTTTTCATTCCAAAGCTCTCCAAACTAACTGCCTCTCTGAGCTCTAGATGTCCACAGTGTTTGTTGGTCAACCCAACCAGGAAACCTCCACTGGAAACCACCCGGTATCGAGGAACCTCCCCAGGAGAACACTGGGAAGTGGACTTCACGGATATGGTAAAACCTGGCTTACAGGGACACCGCTATCTCCTGGTGATGGTAGACACATTCACTGGCTGGGTAGAGGCCTTCCCCACTAAGTCTGAGTCAGCCCTAGTTATAGTTAAAAAGCTACTACATGAGATTATACCCCGATTTGGCCTCCCATTATCAATGGGGTCCGACAATGGCCCGGCTTTTATAGCCCAAGTTACCCAAAAGTTAGCCCAAGTATTAAAAATCAGTTGGAAACTCCATTGTGCCTATCGGCCACAAAGCTCGGGACAAGTAGAGCGCATGAACCGGACCATTAAGGACGCTTTGACTAAGCTGTCTTTAGAAACTGGTGACAATTGGGTGAGCCTTCTTCCCTTTGCATTGCTGAGGGCCAGATGCACCCCATATATTTCTGGGATCTCCCCCTTTGAGGCTATGTTCGGGAGACCCCCACCTATAGTTCCTAAGTTGTCAGAAGACAAATTAGCCGAAGTAACTAACCAAGATCTCATTAAGTCCTTACAGAGTCTCCAGCCTGTACTGACCTCAATTCACCGGCTGTTCAGACAAAAACATCCGAACCCCCCCTTGGGAACGCTGCCCCAAGCGTCAATTGAGCCAGGAACGTCGGTCCTGGTGCGACGACACCACCGGGATTCGCTTGAGCCGCGCTGGGAGGGACCGTTCACCGTGGTGCTCAGCACTCCCACCTCCGTCAAGGTAGCAGGAAAGACTGCGTGGATCCACCACACACAAGTCAAGCCACTAGAAGCTACAGACGACGAAAAGGGTCCCCGATGGACAGTACAACGGACTGGTAACCCATTAAAGTTAAAGTTTGTAAAGGACTCTCAGCCATAAAATTATGTCTGTACTATGGTATTTGGCTTGGTGCTCGATTATAATTGTAAACCCCGGGAATGGGGACTGGATTGTTTCAGACGAGAAAACTAAAAGGGAACTAGGGAGAGCTAAAGGCACGATAAATCAAGTCACCATTGACCTATGTATACTTTTCAATGGGATAATAATTAATGATGACAGCCCAACTGGCAGGGTAGGTGGGTCGGTCCACCGTAACCTCTGCTCGGGCCGTGGGCCTAAAGCTCTGCAAGTTATGTTTCAACTCAAGCAGGCATCCCTGTATGTATGTCCTAAAAACCAGCCTGACCCCAATTATAATGTGTACTGTGCCTCCGATCCAAAACATCAATATTGTTATTCGTGGTCATGTGTCACAGGAGGCCTAGATGGATACTATAACTCTGAAAAGTACCTCGCTGTCAAGTACATAAGAAACAAAAACTGTTATGGTGTTTATACTTGTAACCCAGTCCAGCTGACCTTTCTAAATCCAACGGATTTTAGGTGGCTGGGGCAGGGACTTACTTACGCTGTTAAAATTTATAAATCTGGACATGATCCTGGAATTAGTATCAATATCTTATACAAGCCACCTAGAAAGCCTCCTGTAGTCATTTACAGGAGAGGACGCCGCCCAGTGACAGACCCCACTCAGAAGGCACCCATTAATTTCCCACTCAGTCGACCCCGGAGGCACACTCCAACGACTAAAGTGACTGAGGCCACATGCAACGGGAGCATTTACCACACAGACCAGCCCCAGATAAAGCTGTGTAAATGGAGGGGGGAAGGGGGCATCCCATACTGGATAGAGATTAGAGTGCCTAGCCTCGATCCAACCTCGATGCAACCTTCAACAAGGGCTACAAAAACTGGTTTGAGAAGGTCTAGACGGGCACAGACTGAGCCCAAAGCCTCCGCCCCACCTTCAATGATAGCGGAAATATTCCAACCTTTGGAAGTAGCAGCTGAGCTACTTAACAGTTCCCTTGATAGCGATTTAAAAATCCCATGCTGGCTGTGCATGTCCCCAGAGCCCCCCTTCTATGAGGGCTACATCACGGTCACTGATAAACTAGCCTCCGATCCCTCTAGATGCAAAATGCTCCTTCCCCAATCGCTATGGAAAGGCACCAGTTTAGAGGGGATAACTGGTACCTGCATATATCATTTTAGCCACACAGCCCCTGAGTATTGCGACCTTTCTCACTCTTATCGCATCACAGGAGCTGGTGACGCTACTCCCCTAATAGCCCCGGCCAGCCATTGGTGGGCTTGTACTTCAGGATGGTTCCCTTGTATGATTTCAGAAAAGTTTGTTGTTGACCAGGATGAGGTGTGTGTACTAACCCAGGTTCTGCCTAGAATCTACTGGCACTCCGAGGAAGAAGGAAACCGGGTTCTCATCCCAGCCGGTCACCAGATCAATAAGAGAAGTCCAGCCCTCCCTATTATGGCTGGGATCAGTGTATTCTCAGCCCTCGGGATGAGTGCTGCGTCCATGGGAGTTAGCATACACCAATACAATATGCTATCCCAGCAGGTAGATAAAGAAATAAAAAGAGTCCAAAATGCTATTGAGGCCTTAGAGAGTTCAATGGACTCATTAGCTAAAGTAGCTCTCCAAAATCGCAGAGGACTAGACCTCTTGCTAGCTAAAAAAGGAGGACTGTGCTTGGCCCTGGGAGAGCAATGCTGCTTGTACGCCAATAAGTCCGGGGTAGTTAGACAAAACTTAGCGGAACTCCAAAGAGGCATACAAGAAAGAGAGAGACTAAGACGAGGAGCTCTAGGGTGGGCAGAGCAAATGTTCTCCTTCCCACCGTGGATAACCAACATAATAGCGACCGTAGCCGGTCCTATCATTGTGATTCTAGTGCTAGCTACTTTGGGCCCCTGCATAGTAAATAGGCTGACTGCATATGTCAAGCGTCAGGTACAAAGTATAAAATTAATGATGGTCAGGCAACAAGCGTATGAGCTTGTCCCCAGCAGACCTTAAGTACGGCCAAGGATTTGGCCCAGAAGTCACAACATCAGAGGGGAATGTTGTACTCTAAGAAAGTAGCTTCATCATTTTGTGTATTATAGCAAACCTGTACCGCGGCTTACTAAATGTTTTCTTTTCTTAACTGATATGTTAAGTGACCCAATTGATATGTTGAGCAATACTCTCCCCTGTAAAGAATTGCAAGAATTTCACTTAATTGAAATGTTAATCACGGAGCGGCCCTCTACAAACAAGAAGAGTGGTGCTAAAACAAGCTAACAAGGGCTGTTAATCACGGGTAGGCGCCTCTAGTCTTCGCTAAAGAACTAAAGAAGACAAGAAGGCCCACTAATTTACACATTGTTTGAAGTAGTGTGTTTATATGCAGGGAGATTTGCCCATGAGTTTAACCTTTTTACCTAACCTTAGTTACTCTTCCCACAAGATAGATACTCGCCGTTTTCCTGTTCTGTAGCGCGCCTTATTGCCTCCCCCCACCCACCTATCTGGGCCATAAAGAATTTGGGTTTCTGGTGACCTCTCCCCGACCTGGTGATGATCTGTCATAAAATGAGCCTGCCCCAATTTTAAGAACTGTTTAGCTTCAGAGAAATTACCGGGAAATACTGTGGCCCAAACCCCGATCGGTGCTTTCCTTTTGTTCTGTATGTATCAATGGGTTAGATATCAGATCTTTGTAAAACTTAAGTTCCAGCATCTCATAACTCGTGACCCCTTCGCACTCACTGGCGAAGACAAGCTGTCCTGGGATAATTAACTCTCCACTTTCTTCTCCAAATATTGCTGCAGACGTGACACTCTGAGATAATGCCAGTCTGCAGGATGGGAGTAATTTGAGCAACACCAGGAACTCCCAGGACTGTCAGAGCTAAGTGGACAGCAATACAGTTTCCAGATGCGGGTCAACAGGTTTAATGGCCTTACAGGTTTTCTCCCCACTTTCCCTTACTTTTAAAAACCCCTTTCCCCAGTCTTGGGCGCGCAGTCTTTGGTTTGATCCAGGAGAGACTGTGCCGCCAGGACTGGCTCAATAAAGCCTTTGCCACTTAAGTTTTGGACTCTTGTTTCTGTGGACTTTATACCGGGGCCCAAGTTATAACACCGAGGAGTGGAGTCGTTTGCTGTGACTATATCTGACCATGTTTTTTGAGAGGCTTTGGAAATGGCTTGTGGGCGGAGTTTGAAAAGGTTCGGACACGTCACCTGGATGCATAGAACTAGAGCAGCTTAAGCTGTTCTGTAGAGGAGATTCTGGTCAGAGCTTAAGAGACCAGAAGGCTGATAGGAAGCTTGATGGTAAAGACCAGGCTTGGGAGGTTTCTGCTGGGAATGACTGCATTGGTCATTGGACTCCATATGATGTGTGTTATGGCTTGGCAGAAAGTTTGTCTGCATTTTGCTCCTGCCCAGAGACTTTGCCTGAGACTGACACAAAGGGCAATGGACTGATTAATCTTGAAAAAGAAATTAAAAAGCAAACAAACATTGAGGCTGTGGCATGGCTATTGTTGGGGGCTTTCAGCCAGCTATGTTTCAAATCAGGAGCAAAGAGCCCAGCAGGATAATTTAAAATGCTGTGAGTTTGGCCAGAAGGAAAATTCAGGAAGGCTATGGACTGTAAAGACAGAGTTGAGATTTTGATTGTTGATGCGAAACAGAGAGAAGAAAGATGGCCCCGGGGCATCTCAGGAAGTGGGTCCCCACCCTGTGCAGCCTCACAGCAAAGGTGAAAAAATTTGCTTAGAGGGAAAAGCTGTAGAGAACCATGTTCCAGAATGGCGACAGTGGCCACATGAGATTGCAGAATGGCGGCAATGTAGAGAAACTTTTTCTCACAATCAGGTAAACAGAGCCCTACAATCCAGGCAACTGACCCCTACAGCCAAGAGAGAAAAGCCTGGCTACTGCTTCAGCTAGCAGCAAACCTTGGCGGCATCCACAAGGTGCTGATTTTAGGTGCAAGAAAAATGCACAAATTCTGAGGGTAAGACGGCTTCCACTTCGAATGCAAAGGGCCTGGGAGGCCAAGCAGTGTGCCCCTGAGAGGGCAATTTGTGAAGATGTAAGTGTGAAGCTGAAGGTGCAATGGAGACCCCAGAAGTTTGGAAAAGCCAGGAATGTGGATGATGCAAAGGAAGCTGCAAAAAGTGAGCAGAGAAGATTTAAGAGAAAAGCTGTGGGAGTTAAAATCGCTGGAAGTGCCCTGGGGGTGGAATCACCCAAGCCTTTTGGAGCTTGCCAGCAGATTGCTTCGGGTGCTGAGCATGGAACTCTAGGACTTAATGTTCATCTTGCTGGATGTTGGACTTGCTTTGTTTCCAATGCTTTCTATTCCCCTGTTTGTAACTTTTGGAATGGTAATGTGTATCTTGTGCCTTTGTATTTCAAAAATGTTTCACCTTGTTTCATTTGTACAGGGCTTACAATTAAGAGTTTGCCATAGATCTTGGAGGAGACTAGGGACTTGGACTGTTCAGCAATGCTGAAACTTAGGACTTTGTCAACTCTTGGAGGTGGACTAAATGTCTTTTGTATAAAGGGTGTACATGAGTCCTGGGGGCCAGGGGTAGAATGTCATGATTTATATCTGTGTCCCCCAGGCCTCATGAGTTTGCATTGTACATTTGTTATTTGTTCATTATCTAGTGCTTGGATTGATCATGTTAGTGCTACACCCACAAAGGGGTGGAGCCAGGATGTGATGTAATGGCAGGAAGAAGGTGTGTCTTGCTCTTTGCCAGTTCCTGTTTGCTTTTTGCAGCCACCATGAAAGGCAGCCCAGGCATGCCCACCTGCCTTGGAGTCAACTGAGTGTGGACTGAAACCTCCAAAAACTGTAAGAAATAAACCTTTCCTTTCCCAACTTGGGCATCAGGTATTTTGTCTCAGCGATGAGCATAAAGTAACTAAGACACCATCTGATAGGGTTTTTGTTGCAAGGAAAAAGAAAAAAATATAAACAAACAGTAGCCTTTATTTCAAGGACGTGGAGAAGAGCCAATGACAAAAGACGGCTGGGCCTCTTCTGATCATGATGTAGGGTATGGGATGGATGGATATATATATAACCTCTGACTGGGGGTTGTGCTTAAGGCAGGCATTGGTGACACATGAGCAGCAGATGAAGAATTTTTTGCACCACTGGTAAAAGGAAAAAACAAGTTGTCATAGGGAAAAGGAGAAGTGACCTTAGGGTAAACATCTCTTGGTCTCACCTCCCACTGCCATAATATCATGTCTTGGGCAAAATCCTTTCATTCCAATCTTTTTATTGTTATGAAAAGGGCAAAGTCTCTATCTTACTATTTCCTGCTGAAAGGGGGGCATCCTATTGGGGTTTAGGAAGGTTGACAGGATGATGGTTAATGCCCATGTAGAAGCTGGTGCCAGGTGTTTTAGCCAGGAAAACTTTATCATTGGTAAATGCATGTTAGACTGGAAAAACAAAGAGACAAGCATTTATGCAGAAAAAGGCCACTATCATATTTAAGGACCCAGGTAAGGTAGAAGGAAAGGAGCCTTTGATTTAAATATGCCATTTTATCAGGACCACAGTGAGGTAGAATCATTACCACAGTGAGGTAGAATTCTGAAAAGTAAGTGTGGGGTTAGGAGGAATGAAGTTATGAGAGGTGATTATTTTTTTCCTAAAGGGTATAAAGTTAAAAGGGTAGATATGTAGGACTTTTCTCTGGTCCAGGAGTTGAGCTGGAAAGAATAAGGAGGGTGGGGAGGGCTGAGGCTATGTCACTATAAGGGACATAAGAGCCTAGGCCTTTTGGGATCTCATGTTTGACTAAATAGCTGATGGGAGAGAGAACTCTACCCTCTACCCTCTACCCTGTGGGCCAGTTGTCATATAGAACAACATGAAGATGATCTTATACATGATGTGAGAGTCTTTGGAAAGACTATTAAGAGTGCTGCTGTAAAAAAGATAATTAATAGAATGTAAGCAATTAGGAATCAAATTGGATAACAAACCATGACTTAGCCTGAGAGTTGTGGCTGTGAGGACTTGGTGAGACAGAACAGGTGGGCAGTAGAAGATTAGATGACCATTCAAGATGGTTAGATTTAGGGCTGGGAGGG